ATGCTTTACTGTTAGTTCTATCCCCAGGTGGCTTGTGACCTCAAATAGTAGAGGTAAAAAACAAGGCTTCATATTTACTGGAATTAAAAAAAAGTCCAGCAAATATCACAAAGGAGCCTCGTTCAAGAAGCACTGATAGAAATGACTAATACTCTTTAGGTGCCAGAAACAGTTTAGTCTGAATGCAGAGCAATGTCACTGAGGAGATAAGCTGGGTCACCTTACCTCCTGGCCAAATGAAACTTCTTTTAATTCTCTCTTGCTAACAACAACAAATCTGGGTAAAACCAACTGTTCCTCCTGTTTCAGCTGCTAATGAAGAGAAACAGCCCTCTTGCACATCTACCTTTACCCCAAATTTTCCAGGGCAGTTTCTATATGGCATCAGACTTTTCATAGCTTCACTTAGTTCTTTAGTTTTATGCTAGCATCCACTTGCTCCAAGAACATTGTACCATTTTTCTGTTTTCACTGTACTAGCTTGTATATGGGAGGAAGCAAATACCTGCATCTTTACAACTTTGTGCATCTGAATACTTAGGTAACTAGAAGGCTGTCTTCTCCCCCAGCCCCACATCACCAGTTTTTATAGTATTTAGACATTATTGATCATTCCAAAATGTTCTTTGAACATAGCAGATTCCGTACTGCCTTTTTATATTAAAATTTTAAGCAAGTAGTAAAAACTGGACAAAAATATTAAAATATTGGTAGGGTTCATTTTTCACTTTAACAGTCTAAAGCTGGAATGCATCTTCCACATCCCTATCTTTATTCCAAGGGGCATGGGATTTTGTCAGTCAGCTTTACAGAAATCTATAAACAATCTATATTGAATTATATGATGGTATTAAGTTTTCAAAATAGGTTTATCCAATTAAGGAGAGATATAAAATGCCATGGATTGCTTTGTGGATCTTAATTGTAAAATTTCTTTTTTTCAGAACTTTGTTCCTGCTGTGTTTGCTGCTTTTTTTTTTTTTTTTTTTTTTTTTTTTTTTTTTTTTTTTTTTTGGTCTCTGATTTGTTTTATTTTGTTTTTGGTCTTTTTGAAACAGGGTCTCCCTGTAGCCCCAGCTGGCCTGGATTCACTATGGAGACCAGGCTGGCCTCAAACTCACAGAGATCTGCCTGCCTCTGCCTCCTGAGTGCTGGGATTAAAGGGTGCACCACCATGCCCGACTTGGTCTTTTTGAGACAGGGTCTCCCTGTAGCCCCAGCTGGCCTGGAATTCACTGTGTAGACCAGAGTGACCTTGAACTCACGGAGATCCGCCTGCCTCTGCCTCCTGAGTGCTGGGATCAAAGGTGTACACCACCATGTCCAGCTGCGTTTGCAGCTTTTTCAGCCATGATCTCTGAAAAGTTCCTTTGGTTAAATCTCCTGAACTCAGAATCAGTCAACAGTTCTTCCACAATAGTCTTTTGTTCTCTTTTTTTTTTTTTTCTGGTCTTTTTGAGACAGGGTCTCCTTTGTAGCCCCAGCTGGCCTGGAACTCACTACATAGACCAGGCTGGCCTCAGGCGTGGTGCACCACCATACCCAACAATCCACTATTCTTTTTTAAATATTTTATTTTATGTGATGAGTGTATTGTCTGCATGTATGTGAGTGCACCCATGTGGTGCAATGCCATGGAAGTCAGAAGAAGGTGTCGGATCCCCTGGAAATGGACTTAAGGATAGTTCTTGGCCTCCATGTAGGTGCTGGTAATCGAACCTGGGTCTTCTGCAAGAGTAGTCAGTGCTTGGCCTGGTGTGGTGGCGTGGGCCTTTAATCCCAGAACTCAGGAGGCAGAGGCAGGCAGATCTCTGTGAGTTCAAGGCCAGCCTGGTCTACATAGTGAGTTTCAGGTGATGGAATCAAACCAAGCCCCCCCAGATGATGGACCCAAGTCCCTCCAAAATGATAGATTTAAACTAAAATCCCCCAGGCCTGAAAAAAACTGTACAAGGAAGTAAAAATGAAAAATAATTCTAAATGCTAAGAACAAGCTGAGCTGACCTTTTTCATGCTCCTCTGCCCAAGTTGGAAATCATCCCAGAAATTCCCCCTACCTCTGCTTGGCACATAGCCACCACTTTTCTGCTTGGCACACAGCCGCCGCTTGTCTTTAAAAGAAACTTGTGAACTGGGCTCTGGACTTCTGTCCTCCAAGTGAGGTGGGAGTCTGTTTTGCAAAACACCAATAAATCCTTAGCAAAACGCCATTAAATCCTCTTGCTTGTTGCATCTCCTGGTCTGAGGACTGAGTTATTGGGGAGCGGCCTCCTGTGGACGTTGGGTACCCCAGACTGGGGTTCCAACACAGGACAGCAAAAAAAACGAGTAGTCAGTGCTATTAACCACTGAGCCATCTCCAGCCCCCCAAAATCCACTTTTTTTAACTTTTCATTTTCACACAGGATCTCACTAAGTGGCCAATCTGGCCTTGAACTTGTGATTCTCCTACCTTGGCCTCTTAGTAGCTGGGATTATAAAGTCAGGCCATCTTAATTTTTTAATTTTTTATTTATTTATTTTATTTTATTTATTTATTTATTTGGTCTTTTTGAGATAGGGTCTCCCTGTAGCCCCAGCTGCCCTGGAACTCACTATGTAGAACAGGCTGGCCTTGAACTCACAGAGATCTGCCTGCCTCTGCCTCCCGAGTGCTGGGATTAAAGGCATGCGCCACCACGCCTGGCTTTTATTTATTATTTTTATGTGTATGTGTGTATTGTCTGCATGTAGATAAGTGCATCTGTGTCGTGCAATGCCCACGGAGGTCAGAAGGAGCTGTCAGATCCCCTGGGACTGGAATTACAGACGGTTGTTAGCTGCCATGTGGGTGCTGGGATTCGAACCTGGGTCTTCTACAAAAACAACCAGTATTCTTAACCACTGAGCCATCTCTCCAGCCCCCCATCCTAATTTTTGAGAATTTTTAATTCACTGACATTCTTTTCTTAGGATTGTTTACTTAGTTTCTTTGTTTTTCTTTCTTTTTTAAAATTTGAGACAGGGTCTCACTGACCTGGAACTTGCCAAGTAGGCTAGGCCAGCTCACTAATGAGCCCCAGAGATCTACCTGTCTCTACCTCCCCAACACTGGGGTTCAACACCTCATCACCACCACACATAACTTTTTTCATTTGGGTTCTGAAGATCTAACTTGTCAGGTCCTTTTGCTTATCTTGCAAGCACTATACTGACTGAGCTACCTCTGCAGTCTATTTTATTTTATTTTTTATTTATTTATTTATTTATTTATTTATTTATTTTTATTTTGGTCTTTTTGAGACAAGGTCTCCCTGTAGCCACAGCTGGCCTGGATTCGCTAATGGAGACCAAGCTGGCCTCGAACTCACAGAGATCTGCCTGCCTCTGCCTCCCGAGTGCAATTTTAACTATGTCAGGATTCAGAAATTAAGAAAATCTGAGCAAATGAGAGTGAGAGAGAGACAGAGAGACAGAGAGAGAGAGAGGACAACTCTTTATTCTTAAGAGAGAGAGGACAACTCTTTATTCTTATTTTCTGTTGGAGATTCAGAAATTCGGATCCCCTGGAACTGGAGTTACAGACAGTTGTTAGCTGCCATGTGGTTGCTGGGATTTCAACCCCTGTCTTCTGCAAGAACAGGCAGTGTTCTTAACCATTGAGCCATCTCTCCAGCCCTCTCCAGCCTATTTTAAATACTTCCAAAAATTCTAAAGTCAACTGAGCAGGTGGTGCAGGCCTTTAATCCCAGCACTCAGGAGGCAGAGACAGGTGAATATCTGTGAGCTCCAGGCCAGGAGGGCTACACAGTGAGACCCTGTCTCAGAAAGTGAACAAATGAAAACAACTGAAGCCATGTCTATAATCTCAGGATCTGTGAAGCTGAGGCAGGAGGATAGAGAGTTCCAGGCTAGCCTGGCCTACATAGAGTTCCATAACAAGTCTAGTGTGGAGTTGCAAGTCTTGTAATCCCAGCATTTAGGAAGTGGACCCAGGAGAACTAGAGTTCAAAGTCATCCTCAGCTATGTGAGTTTAAGGCCAGCCTTGGTAAATTAGGGAGACCCTATCTCAAACAAGGAAAAAAAGGGGAAAAGCACACAAAAATTGAGAATGTAGCTCAGTAGTAGAAAGACTGCCCAAGATGCATATTGCACCCTCTTGCCCTTGGAGTCCTGCCACGCCCAGCTCCTTGTGTTGCTATAGGCTGATTGGGAGCCCAAGGCAGATGTCACCAGAGAGAAAAATGGCCATGAGCAGTGTGCTGCACAATATGCTTTACAGTGAGTACAAAAGTGAATGTGATTGAACCCTGGCCCCTGAGAAGGAACCTTCCATGCAAGCTGCCAGGCTGGCAGACTCCCTGCAATCAGCCTCCATCTGTGGTCTCCTAGACACCCCTCTGAAGAGCCAACACTGGTTTCTGATGATGCAGCCCAAACCAGATTCCTGGGCCTCCCCTCCCTAATACTGTCCTGCAAGGGACAGGAGAAGTTGCCCCTTTCTGATAAGTTTCCCAGGGCCTCTGGGAAGCCAGGCCTTGGCTCTTTCCTGGGGTTCCACTGGGATCTGTCTCCAGCATGAGCCTCAACACTGCCTTCCAAGGCACAATTCCCACCTCTTCCAGGGAGCCTCCAAGGTTTAGTGGCTTCCATCTCTGACCTGCCAGGGCAAGGCTATTCTGGCAAAAAGAGCCACTCTGAAGGTTACCATGAGGATGAAGTGGGGCTGGAGAGTTCTCATGTATAGGCCTGTTTACATGAGAAATCCTTGGTGGTAAAGGTGTGGTCTTGGACCTTACTCCAGCTGCCTTGGCACTGTCCCTGTGCTCTGAACTTTGCCTCCATCCCTCTGCTACCATCTACATCATCCTCAGCCTCAAGGAAGGTCCTTGAGTAGAGGTTTGGGTTTTTCTTTCTTTCTTTTTTTTTTTTTTTTTTTTTTGAGATATTTTCTCACTACATAGCCCCAGCTAGCCTGGGACTTGCTATATATACCAGACTGGCTCTGAACTCTCAGACGTGACTTGCCTCTGCCTCCAGGGTATGCACCACCACGCCAGGCTTGAGAAGCGGTTTTTTATCCAGAAGCCAGGATCCGTTGGATGAATTGCTTTTATCTCAGAGCAAGTAAAAGTAAACATTCATGCAAGTGAACTTCAGACCGAAGGATCATGTTCAGAGAAATGCTTTTGTTTTAGTAAGTCATTTTCAGGAAAGGGAAATGGGTGGGGAGCCTAAACAAGATTTCCGTTTTCAACTCCTGGTGACAGAACCAGAATCCACTGCAATGGAGCTGAGCTTTCCTCTCATCAAGGTAAGAGTGGAAAGCCCAAAAGGGGGCAACTAGAGGGAACCAACTCCCAGAATGGGGTCCCCGGATGGCACATTATTGGGAGCAGGCAAGAAGTTGGCCTGGGGAGGTTGAGTCTGGAGAAGGTTCCCCACCAAGGGGAGGCCTGGGTGGACACAGCAGATGAGGATCAGACCTTCCTTTGAGAATGGACAGCAGGAGCCTCTGGGTGAGGGCAGGGCCAGTCCCAGGACACCCTGAGATTTTAGGGACTGAGGCAGGGCATCTGAGAAGGGAGTAAAAGAGAACATGTTGAAGGCTGGGCTGCTCCTTTCTCTACAACCACCCCATTCTGGCCCATCCCCCTACCACTCTATCCCCTACCCAAAGTCAAGTCTCTTAGGCTTGTCCTACCATAGGTTCTCAGGATCCATGTGTGCCTCAGGCTTTGTGGGAGCAGTGAGGTGGAGGTCAGGCGCCTGGTTAGCAGAGAAAACCTTCTGAGGGCAAGAAGGGGTTGCAGTGGGTACTGTCTGAGAATCCAGGCAGCAAAAGTATGAAAAGCCAAGTTTGGGGAGCTCAGTGTGGGAGGTAAGGAGGGGGCCTTGAGCCCTCCCAGAGGACAGTTTGTATTCCAAGGTGAAAAAGGGACAAGAAACAGGAGACTGAGGAAACAGGATGCCAAGAGGAGAGATCATTTCATAGGCCTCAGGGGCTTGATCAAAACAAGACAGCATTTGTAGCCCAGTCAGCTCACTGTCAGCTGAAGCCCCTTGGACAGCCCCTTCCTCCCTCAGCTGCAATCTTCTGCAGCTGCCTTCTCTGTCAGAACCTTCAGGAAGCCACAGGATGGTACTGAGAGCAAGATCTAGGGGAGGGGCTGGCATAGAGCTTTGGTGACTACCCAGAGCACTTCACAGCTCAATTGGAGGGGACCCAGGCAGGACTGGGAGACCAGGAGTTGATATCTGCAACCCATGGTCCTAAGGGGCATGAAAGCATTCTCCTGATGCCTGAGAGGTGACTCCTGGCTCTACAGGAAGCTATGGCCAAGACAGTTCTCCTTAGAGGAGCAGGGAGAGTGGCAGCCCCTTTGCCCCTGGGTAGTCCACTGTGGACCTTGTGAGGTTGGAACCTGCTGTGGTCTGGGGCTCCAGGGCTCCCTAGGAAAGGGAATGAATGTGACAGCCACTCTCCTTCTAACAGGAATGAATGTCTTCCACTGAGAAGATGTCATCCTCCACCTTGTCCATCTCTGTGGTAAGAATCAAAGTGCCTCTCCTCCGGCAGCAAGGATGGCCAAGACCAGTCATGAGGGCCTGGATGCAAGACAGGACCCTGATCACCTCCAGGAATGGCTGGGTGAACCTAGGTACCTAGGATGATGAAAGACCCCGGTAGCCTAGGGAGTGATGGGGACTTAGTTGCTCCCCGCTGAGCTGTGGCATAAACTTTTTCCAGGGGAGAAATTAACAAATGCTTGCTCTCCTTCACTAAGGGGAACCAAATAGGCCAAAATATGATTCCACAAGAGTCCAGCTTGGAAAACCAATGAGTTTATTGGGTTTATTTACAGAGCATGCATGAGGGATTACTTACAGGAGCAAGGGTGACCCCCAAATAGCCACATCATCAGAAAGTCTCACTTGAGCATGAATAACAATTTTCCCACAGCTGCTTAGATGAAGTTCCATCATTGAGCAATTTTCCACAATGTTTATACTCTAGTACCTCCCCAAACCATGGGACTACACACACCTGGAGCAGAATTGCATACAGCTGGCAGGGAGGTGCAGGAGGGTGTGGCTGACAGCTCAGGTAAGGGTCCAATGACCCTTCCCATCCTTTCATTCTGTGAGGGAATATCAACAGGTCTGATCTTGCAGGTAGTCATAGCCACTCTAATAGATAGCAATGCCTGCTATGTCTGAAGGACAGTGCTCTACAACAGGCTGAGACCCCAGAACACCTAAAATGGGGTGTTCTTGTCCTGAGGCCTGTAACTCTCAGGGGACTCAAAGGACCCTCAGCCTCCATCCCCAGCTAAGGAGTCTCAGGCCTGGTGGAACTGTGCTGGGGAGCCAGAGATGTTGGTGCCTGAACTCCAGGCATCTCTGCATGTAGCATACCAGCTCTCACTATAAGTGCTCACACTGGCCAGTCCTGTGGAGTGCCTCCCCATTGTTCACCCAGTCCTTCCAGTCAGGAGTGGACAATGGGGTTTCCAGACCTGTAGAAAATTGTTGTCAGAGGACAAGTCACTACTCTGTGGTTGCCTACCAAGTAGTCATTGGCGAGGGAGGAGGTAGTTCTGGCTGGGAGTCTGTTCCTCCCACTGATGGGGTATGGCCATCTCCAGGTCACTGTGTTCTTCTCTGGTCCCTGCTCTAGTGTCTTATGTGCACAGTCCCCTTGATGTCCACAATCCCTAGGGTGGCCATAGAGCCACTGACATCACCTGGCTTTTTAATCCAGGCAGTATCTGTGATGAGCCTAACTGTGTCACGCTCTGGATCTATAGTATGGCTTGTGGGGGGCCTATTGGCCGTGACTGCTATCGCTGGCATTTATCATCTATGCAGAGAATCACATCAGGATAGACAGCCCTGAACAAGAAGGACCAGGACAAAATAATCCAATGGAAATCCTGTCTTGGCATCAGTGATGAAGGCCTACCTCATAGGAGTATTTGGGGCTATAACATGTACACATTTAAAATTTTGATTATGAAAAAAACTAAATTTTTGAACAAAAAACAATCATGAAGCACAATGAGTGTTTACTGTGTATCTTTTTCCTATTCTCAGGCTCTGGATTCTAGGATTCTGGGTGTTTGGAGACCTGACTCCACCCCCACCACTCTGGAAAGCTTCTCCCCAGCAGCCCTCAAACAGTCCTTCCTTCTGCAGAACTGCCTGGGCCATATGACCAGGTGGTCTCCCCCTGGGCCTCCAATGCTCACACCTCACATTTGGGCTCCTTCAGCCTGGAAAACTGGCCCAGGCACTGAAATACTGAGGTGGGATCCCTGAGATTTCCCTTTCCTGCCACCCTTGTCCTGAAAGGGAGCAGCAGGAGCTTCTTCCCTGGGCCCCCTGTGAGTCAGGTAGCTGTGACTCCCTCTACGGGGCCTATAGGACAGTTGTGTGGGTGCCCTTGGGCCAGATCAGTTTTCCCTGGTTCTTTGCTTGGAGACCTTAGAGTCACTGCCAAGTGTTGGGAGGATAATGACCTGAGAGAGTGTTATATGAACTTTCCTGGGGAGACACAAAACAAAGTTTACTCACCCCAGATGGACACCAATGACAGACCAAAGTAATGATTCCACCCACCAAAGTCCAATTTGGCAGATCAATGAGCTTATTTGGCTTATTTACAAAGCATGTGTGACCCTAAAACAGCTTAATCACAGAAAAATCTCACCTCAGAATGGATGGCAACTTCCCCATAGCTGCATAGATGAAGTTCTCCCCTTCAGTTAACCTTCTGTAGCCTATATACTTTATGAGACCAGAAGACCATGTACAGCTGGGGAAGAATCACGTAGTGCTGGCAGAGAGGTACAGAAGGGAGGGGCTTTCTATGAGGGAATATCTACAGGTCTGATCTTGAGGGTCTGTCATGGGCAGTTGCAGCCTCTCCAATCAAGATGACAATGCTAATTATGCTCTGAGGACAGTGTTCTGCAACAGGCTTTGCTCTTGCCCTTCCTCAGAGATGTAACCTGCTTAGTGCAGAGCTGCTGGGCAGCCTGGGCTTGGTCCCTCCCTCCAAACAGGCTGTCTTTCAGAGCATTGGCTACTGAGTCCTGTGGCCCCTGAGGTGTAGAGTTCAATGGAGCTGTTTTTCAAGGTCTCTTAGCACAGCAAGTAAGGGACACAGAGTGGAGACTCCAAGGGCCCTGCCACTTTCCTGAATCTTGGGGCTGGCTCTGGCATCACTTGCTGCTCATTTGGGACTATAATCCCACTCCAGGTACCTTGTTCTGTGCAAGCCTGCTCTGCCTCTGTGGATTCTGGCACTGGTGATATTACAAAGGGAGGTAGAAGTGCTAGATTCCTGTTCCACATGGCTGGCATAATGATAACCTGACTTCCACAGAGAAAGAGTACTCGCCTAGGACTGGTTATAGGGAATTCTGCCTTCCAGGTTCTATCTTCTGGAGGTGTTACTCCTCTGGCTCAGCCCTCCTATGATGTCCAAGTCTCTTCTCCCTTATAGATACCTTACAGGTGTTTCATGCCTGGGTCCCTGCAGAGAATAGTGGTTGGGGCTCTGCTAAGGAAGGGGTAGGCAGTTTCTCTGCTGGAACAGGAGGTAAAGAGGCCCATGCAAGACCAAAAGCTTCTGCTTCAAAGTATATTAGTGGATAAGGTATTCATGTTTTGAAAACTACCATGCTGGTACAGAGACAGGTGTTTTTCAGCCAATTTGTTCATTTGCTTATTTGACATTGGTAATAGGAATCATTCTAGCACTTTGCTATGTAGGACCCCCAGGCTAGGGTGCCCAACGTCCACGGGAGGCCGCACCCCAACAACTCAGTCCTCAGACCAGGAGATGCAACAAGCAAGAGGATTTAATCATTTGCGCAGACAGGCTCCTGCCTCACTCGGAGAGAGCAGCAGCCAAGAGCTCAGCTCACAGGCTTCTTTTAAAGGCAAAAACCACAAACCACAACCAGCAGGAGTGGGAGGGGGACCGGCAGAAGTGGGAGGGGGAAGTTTCGGGTGATTTTCAGCTTGTACATGGAGCATGAAAAGGTCAGCTTTTTCTCAGCGGTTAAAATTATTTTACATCTTACTTCCTTGTACAGCTTCCCAGAATATTCTTCTTTTGTCTGGGGGACTTTTTTTGAATCCACTTTGACCTGGGGGGGCTTTAGTTTGATTTCATCAGGGCTAGGTATCATAGGAAGGGGATTTCCATACATGATTTCAAAGGGGGTCAAACCCATCTGGTATGGAGTGTTTCTTACTGGTCTAGTGAGATTAAGGAACAAAAATGACGGTTGTAACACCTGCAGCATCGGACTCATGGCATCTGGATGGCTAATTTTAGAAGGGACGATTACCACTGGGTTTGGCTGAGTGGCAACGGCAA